CGCGCCCCGACTCACCAGATAGTAGACGCCGATCTCGTGCAGTGCGCGCCGCCCCACCGGTGCGTCCCGGCGCAGGCGGCAATGGAACGCGGCCTCCACGCGCGCCACCGGTGGGCCTGGGGCCAGGGGTGGAGCCAGAAGCGTCAACACGGCCCCCGGGTCCTCGTCCTCCTTGCGCCCCGAGGAGGCTGGGACCGGAGAAGGGCTTCCCGCCGCTGGTCCACTGGGACCACCCGTGCAGGGCTCGGGCTCCACATGCTCCCGCTGCTGCACCGCGCCTGGCACAGAGCAATCTGTGGCCCACTCTGCCCAGGAAATGTGAGGAGCAGGGGAGGCGCATCCAGGACCCACCGGAGGTGCCCAGGGGACGCTCCTCCCTGACACTGCTGCTGCCTGCTTCCCTTCACACAGCCTACTGGAAGCTCCAGCAGCACGACCACATCAGGACCCCTGTCCTCCACCTCTCAGTCACACCTGTATCTCTGGAGAGCTGTGTGTGAATAGCTACTGCAGCTACACCGTAAATAACATGAAGGTTCTTTAGTGGCTGGAGGCTTATTTAGAACAGAATAGGGGGTGGGTGGGCAGGGGCTCCATGGTACAGTCAATTCCAGAAGATGGTTGGCAGCCCCAGGGCAGCAAACAGCCCTGGGCAGGACTCCTGACTAGGAATGGGGTTCTGTTCTGGTCCCCAGGGAAGGTCAGTGAGAGGCCTTTCTCCATGAGGCTTCCCCACCAGCTTGCCCACCCACAGCTGGAGGGTACCTCAGCAGGTGTTTACTGGGTGCTGTGGTCGGCCCTCTCTTGCTGGCTTACCCACAACCTGGGTAGCATGTGATCCAAAGGGCAGCACCCTTACCTTTCAGCAGTAGCTGGAACTCCTTCAGCAGAGCCTCAGGTGGGATGAAGGGGCCTGGGGGGCCCTGGGGTCCTGGAGGTCCTGGAGGTCCTGGCAGGCCAAGCTGGAAAAAAAACTTGGCTTGTGAGGACATTTGAGGGTGACCCCTCTGCCAGGTCCTGCTATAGAGAGGCAGGCAGGCAGATTTCCCACTGTGGCTGTGGACTCTGCCCTCCTTGGGGGAGGTCCCTTGGGCTCTCAGACTTCTCTTCCATCAAGCAGGCAGTGAAAGCCACAGGCCTGGAGTAAGTGTGAGGCCAGGTCTGAGTCCGTATGAGACTGGCTGGGGGTGGCCCAAGGCAGGGCAGGCTCTACCTGAAGAAGAGGGCTGTAGCTTGCTCCTGCCACTGTGATTACTGGAGGGAGGACTTTGGCTTGCTTCTGGGGACTTGCATATGGGTCTGACATGCAGCACATCAGCAAGACCCCACTGTACCTGGCCTAGCACTGGGTTCTGGGCCCTGAAGGAGCTTACAGGGCTGGGTCAGATCCAACACAAGTGAGGGAGGCCCCATAGAGAACTGTGGGCAAGGCCAGGAGGCTGACAGGGTATGATGGTGACAAGACAATGGTGTGGCCCAGCCAGCCCACTGACCTCAGGCTTAGAGCTGGCACTCCATCAGTGAGTCAGATCTGGGTCAAGTGAGGCTGACCTCCATGGACAGGGAGGCCCAACACCTAGTGTAGCCCAGCCCTGATCCAGAGTCGCTCTGAGGAGTTCAAAGTAGGAGTCAGGTGTCAGGACCAAGTGTCAACTCCTCACACAGGCAAGGCCCACACTGAGTGCCTTCCCTTCCCCCATCACTCCAGCAGCTTGGAGCCATCCCCTACTCCCAAGCATGTGCTGTGCAGGCCTCCCTCTCTGGACAGAGAAGAGAGGAAAGGGAAGACCTGGTATCCTAGAAGTGTGGGGTAAATGTCTAGAATCGGGCTCCTAACTCCAGGCTCACTAGGTCCCAGCCTGGTGCTTGATTCTGTTCCCTCTCTGGGTGTTTGCTGTTGGACATAGCCAAGGATCCTTGGGAGCCAATCAGGGCAGTGGGCACAAGCTGCTCACCTCAAGCCGCCTGGCCTTGGTCCTGCTCCTCCTCTTACTGTTGACACCTTTGTCACTCTGCCTGACGAAGAGCATCCAGGCATCCCGGGGATCCACGCTATGTGCATGCACTGTGGTGGGCTCCTGGAACACACCCAGCCACAGTTTTTTTTTTGTCCCATGCTGCCACTTGGCAGCACACTGGACTTGTTATCTGTAGTCTCAGAGGCAGCACTCCCCCACCCCCAGCCCATGGAAGATGGCATCTGACTCGCACTCCTGGGAAAGGTGACCCAGGCCAAAGGAGGAAGATGGGGGGTGGAGCTCTACAGCACACTGCTGGGATAGCAGGCTTCATCCTGTACTTGAGATGCACTGGGACAATCCTACCATCCTTGACAGTCACTGGCACCCATAGGTGCTCAGGACGTGACTATGAACATCTGGAACATCTGGAACCCCAGCAGCCAGTGAGCTCTCTTGTCCCTCCATACAGTCAGAAGTGCCAGACTGACCAGCCTCACAGCCTCTGCAATCACAAGCCACAGTGTGCCAGAGGACTAGGTAAGATGTCATCGCTCAAGGCCACCGCCTGGGACCTTCTTCCTCCTCAGCACTTCCAAAACGCTGACCCAAGCAAGGATAGTTACATTTCTACCCATTTCTGCATAGGTGTATCACAGGTGCATCTGCCAGGTCCCCAGGAACCAAGCCTGAGAGAAGCCTTTTGTCCTGGCAGAGTCCTCTGGCACCTCTGGCACATGGGGCAGTGGGTCTCGGGCAGTCTGGGCTCCAGGCTGCCAGCTGGGAAGGCAGTGGCCCAAGAGGCTTGAGATGAAGTCATGGGCACAGACTCTAGTGACTGACAGATAGAAAGACCCAGGATCTTAGAACTGGCCTGTGCCTTGTGGGTTCTGTCCAACCCAGGGCCTGCCTTTGGGTCATAAGCCAGGCTTCTATACTAGGAAGATGGAGGCTTCTGTGCCTCTTGCTGGTTCCACAGATACCAGGACTGACGATTCCATGTCACGGCCCCATGGTGTCCTTGGTGAAAACCACATGGTGCAATGCTTCCCAACGGGCCAGGATAGGTGTGCTGAGACCAATGGCCTGTGGATGGACTCACACCACAGATGGTTTGGGGGGGGGGCACTGAAATGCAGGGAGCCATGTTGGTCTGGGGTCCCAAGAGTTGGGGTGAGGGTTGGGCAGCCACCTTGGTCAGCCAAGTTTCAACCATCAGGGAGCTGGTGGCACCCTGATCCTCCAAAGAGGGTCCAAGGCCAAAGCCCCACCTGAAAGCCCCAGCCCAGTCTCTGATTCCTGGTGACCATGTCTTGGCTTTGTGAAGGCTTTGGCGGATAGCTGAGGGGAAGAGGGGGTGTGTTTGCCCTCTGTCCAAGGGAAGCGGCTGGGTGAGGGTGGGATGGGGTGGGGAAGGGGTCTGGGGATACCTTACAGAGGGACCCCAAGGGTGCAACCTCCTCTAGCTCTCTTTAGTGGATGTCTTCTTGGTCTCTGTGGGTGCTGAGAACAGAAGAGCTCTAATCTTGGACTTCTTTGTGCCTGGCCCACTGCATGGTCAGAACAACTAGGCCCAGAAACCCTCCTGTGAGTCCTGCCTCCAGGACTGAATGGCCCCACACCTCTAAGGGCTGCCAACCTCCCTCTCCAGGCCTCTGGCCACACCTTCCCTAACCTCCCAGCATTTCAGGCAGAGATCCTGGGCCGGAAGGGGCAGAGTCCTGCTACACAACACCCCTTTCCCAGCCAGCAGTCAACGAAAAGAACAGGGCCTAGCAGGGTGAGGTGGCGCAGGCCTGTAGTCCCAGCACTTGGGAGGCAGAGCAGGCAGATCTCTGTGAGTTCCAGGCCAACCTTGCCTACATAGTGAGTTCCAGGCCATCGGGGAAACCCTGTTTCAAAACAACAACAACAACAAAAAAGAACAGGGCCATTCTGGGTCCTGTGCACCCTGCCCTTCTCCAGACTCCAAGGATCCGCAACTCGTTTACACTTCTACAAATACAGTGAGGGTCAAGTCATCATTTTACACCTTTCCTAACCTGTCTTCCTGGTCTATTAGAATTCTGCTTTAAGCCAAAGAACTGTCCGCAGACCCAAGGTCACCGCTGACTCTTGGTGTAGACGGCGCATCTGCACAACGCTGCGTCTCACTGGACCGAGACCCCCAGCCCAGTTGCAGCCCGGGTTGCAGCCGGGGTTGCAGTCCGCACAGCCAGGTCCCCGGGGATCCCGAGGCGCGCGTTCTTGGGAGCGGCCGCGTCTTACCGGCGGGCGGGCGGTGCGGCCAGCGGGCCGTTCGGTGCCAGGCGGCTGCGAGTGCGCGCTGGTCACCGCGGGCGCGCGGGGCTCCGGGGCTTCGAGACCCGCGGCGGCGGCCAGGAAGCCTGCGCAGGCGAGCAGCAGACACGCTCCGGAGGGACGGCGGGGCCGGGCCATGCGGGCTGCGTTGGCTCCGGGCGCGGCGTCGCGGGAAACTGCGCGCCTTATAACGCGCTCGAATCCCCCGCCTAGCGCGCCGTCACCGTCCGCCGCCCCTAGCGGCTACCGCGCGCGTTGCAGGGACCGGGGATGGAGAGGAGGCCTCGCCCCACCCCGCCGCGCGGCCTCCGCCTGGAGGTCTGGCGCAGCTGGCTCTGTGCCCCAGGACCCCCTTTTCTCCAGGGTGGCTGGAGCATCTCCACCTCAGTATTCTGACCGTCCTCTGGAGGTGCCCGGACGCCCTTCCGTTCTCCAGATGTCCCACGAGTTCTAGGCCTTGGCAACACAGGTTGAGCACTTGGAGCGGTGAGACCCTCACGGCCCCTTCTCAGAGGCCCTTCCCTTCCAAGCTGGAGGCCTCTGAGCGCCCATGCGGTGTTCCCTCTTTTCCCCACGCGGGATGCACTTGCAGCGCTGGCGGCTCTCAGAGTGAATCTGTCAGTTGCCTGGAGGTAGGATAGAACTGCGGTGATGCCCTTGCCAGGTGTCGGGGCAGATGGAGTCCAGGCAGTGAGGGTGAGTCAGCACAGGGCAACCAACTAGGACAGTGTAGCAGACCCCAAGGGCTTGATCCAGGAGAAGGCACTCTCTGAGGGGGCTGTCTCCCACAGAGGCAGTCTCCACCCGACCCCAGTCTGGGCTGCTCCTTACCTCCCATTTGACTTGAGATAAAAAGCCAGGAAGGCATCACACCTGTCTTTCTTGTCCCAGCTCTGTGGCCCCTGCAGCGGTTGAGCACAGGGTCTGGAGTTAAAGCAGGAGGAGGCTTTCATTGACCACTTCTCCCTTAGGGGATGTGGGAGAGGAGGAGGACCAAGTCCCAGAAATAGGTAAGGCAGTGCCAGCCCAACCTTGGGGAAGAAACCCAGGTGAGCCCTCAGCTTCAGACGTGTATTCTGCCTGCCTGGCTTAGGGCAGGGATGAAGATAATGAGGTACTGTGCAGTCACAACTTGGAAGATGTGTTGCTTGTTACTTGTTTCCAGTGATTCAGGTTCTTTTCCTGTAGGCCACAGAGATGGTGGGAGGCTGGGCATGTGTATGTGCAAAAAAAAATATAAAAAAAATACTCTGCCCTTCCTGAGAATTTGTCCCCCTAAGGTCCCCTCAGTCCTGCAGATTTACATTGGCAAGTTAGGATTACAAACGAGACTTCTGTCTTTGTTTTTTTTTCAATGTGTATGTGTACTGCCTGCATGTATGTAAGTGCACCACATGTGTGCAATGCCTGAAGAGGCCAGAATAGGGCATTGGATCCCCTGGAACTGGAGTACTGAAGGCTGTTAGCCATGATGTGGGTGCTGGGAATGGAACCCCGTCTGCTTCAAGAGCAGCCAGTGCTCTTAACTGCTGAGCCATCTCTCCAGCCCCCACTTCTGTCTTTAAAAACTGGCATGTGCCAGGCGTGGTGATGCCTTTGGTCCCAGCACTTGGGAGGCAGAGGCAGGTGGATCTCTGTGAGTTTGAGGCCAGCCTGGTCTACATAGTGAGTTCCAAGACAGCTGGGGCTACAGGGAGACCCTGTCTCAAAAAGACCAAAAAAACCCCAAACAAAACAAAACAACAACAACAACACAACAAGCTGGCATGTGATTAGTTCCTAAAGCTCTCAGCTGGCTGTGGTGGCCCACATCTGGAACCCAGCACTGACTGAAGCAGGACGATTGTTGCAAGTTTGAGGCCAGCCTGGGCTACATAGTGAGTTCCAGGGCCGTCTGAGTCACAGTGTAAAACACTGTCTCCAAAAACCCCAAACAAATGAAAACCAGGAATTCGGGAATTGCAGCTCTCTAGGAACAGGTCTGGGGAATACTGGCTTACGAGCACAGGCTCAGTAAAATATGTGAACTTATTTCATTCGGAAAAGTTCAGCAGATTCATCCCATACCAGGACATTTGTCATCAAGTCTGCACATGAAGGAGGTTTACGCCTCACAGCCCAAGAGAGCTGAGCACTCCCCTGCTAGGTTTTCGTTTAGTCCACTGGGCTGTGTGCTGAGGAGGCTGACCTGAGTGTGAGTTCTGCTGTTTCCTATGGTTCCTATCATGTTGGGGTGTCCTCAATGAAACCAGCAATCTGCTGGTGCCCAGAAGCTCCTGCCCCCAAGAGGCAGCTCTGTGCACAGCACCTTCTCACCTCTGAATAAACATGCCTGCTGACACCTCATTCAGCTTTTCCAGGCCCCCTGGACTAGGTCAGAGAGGTGGCTGGCTTGCTCAGGGACACTCAGCCCACAGACAGTGCCAGGCAGAGGGCAGGAGGCAGGCTAGTCTGGAGGCAGGCCTGTCTTCCCGGGAAATGTGGCCCTGTCCTTTCCTGCAAGGAAGCCATCTCCCCTGGGTCAGGACGCCTCAAGGGCACCTGGCTGTGGTATATGGTGGTTGTTGTTTGCCCAAGAGGGTGAGGCTTGGGATCTGTCCCAAGGGGACAGGCAGGGATGAGGGGCCTTGATTTGGGAAGCTCAAGTAGTATTACTCCCTTCCCAGTGTGGGGGCGGGGGGGCAGCTGTAGGGTTCAGGACAGGAGCTGTTGCCATGTGAAAGTAGTTATTTTCCCAAACACTGGACTGTCCTAATGATGTCATGGGCTCTTCCAGAGGGACCAGATCCAATTGGTTCTGGTGTTGGCATGGCTTCCTGGAACCCCAGCCCAAGGTAATGACGCAGTCCAGCTCAGACACATGAACTAAGTTGGGCCTTCAGGAAGGGCCCCTTCATGTTTACAGGGTCCTATCTGAAAACAAGTTCCTGGAGGAACAGTGGCTCACAGAGCACTGAGCATGGGGTCCACAGCATGAGGCCCTGCAGCAGCAGCAACCCCCCATTTAGAAGTGGGGCCCTTGAGGGTGGAGTTTGCATGGGACGGAAGTGCCGAATGAGTGGTTGTGGAACCACCAGGCAAAGCTAGCCGTGGCCTCCCTACATGCGTCCTGCCTGGCAGAAATCGAATTCTCATTCTTGGGCTCTCATGTCATGGCTTCGGCCTGGCTCCCCAGCAGCCCAATGTGCCAAGCTGTGCCCAGTGCCCCTCTGCCTCCAAAGGAAGGCCGTTGGTCGATGAGATCATGGGAAAGGAAGCTCTCTTCATTTGAAGACAGTGAGAGCCTAAGGCTGACCAGCTGTGTGACCTCTGGAGCACCTGTGTCACATGCCTACTCTGCCCGGGGGCCATCAATGCTCAGAAGAAAATGAGGCACAGATCTTGGAAGTAGCCCAACGTCAGGTAGACACCAAATAAAAGCAAAATCAGGTCTGGTCTCCACATCTTGCAGTCAGCGGCTCTGAGGGCTCTGAGGGCTCCTGATGACTGAGTGCTCCTAAGGACTCTGTTCTAACTAGGGGCTTTCAGGACTCCTGAGGGCTCTGAGTACCCCTAAGGCTGAGAGTGAGTATTCCTAGGGACTCTGAGTACTCCTGAGGTCTCCGTCTTGAGGGCTGAGTGCTTCTGATGGTATGCATGCTCCCGAAGGCTGTGAGTGCTCCTTAGGGGTCTGTATCCTCTCTAGAAGCCTCATTAGCTTCCAACTTCTGAGTCCATGTTTTCCTGGGGATTCTAACATTGGAAGATTCTTGGGCTTTCTCATGGCTTTTCCCTGCATGCACGTGGGTCTATTTTCTGAGTGTTTGAGATGTGTGACTGAGTCTCTCTGTGCTGTGCTGGTGGTTGACCCCTTTCCCCCGACAGTCTGCCTTCAGGGTGGCCTTAGTGGACTGTGCCAGTACCCTCTTCCCCTCTGAGTTCTGACTGCCAGTAGACAGCACTTGCAGGGGATGGAGGCAGGAGAGTTAGGAGCGTCATGTACTCTGCCACATGCTCCCAACAGGCACTGTGTCATGGCTGTGCTCCTTGGCAGCCCTCTCAGTGATCTCTAGGTATACATCTGCTGCTTCCCTGGACCCTGGAGGTTGGGGGTGGGTAATCAGGGCACTTCCACAGCCCTATCTGGATTCCATCCAGCCTGTAGCCCCCCCTTTTATTCGACTCTCAGCTTCCTAGCTGTAGAGCCTTTACTTCCTATTCAGACACTGAGCATGCTGCTGTCCCCCAAACAGGGCAGCTCCACTAGTCAGATGAGGCACAGTTCAGCAGAGCTGAGGACAAGGCCCTGGATGGCGTGTGTCACCACGCAGCACTGCCCCTTTCCACTTACCCAGCAGCACACCACCCTACCAGATCCCCATTTCTGATTAAAATCAGCTTTACTCTTTGAGCCTTTACCTGTGAACAGTCCTGTGCTGACCTGCCTACAGAGCGCAGAACCCTAACCCCTGCATTCATCAACCCACCAGTCAGGTGGACTCCCCAAGTTTAGGTTCTGTCCCTTTGGCAGCAGGCACCTGGACACCCTGCTTTGTTTGGTCTCTAGGTCAGCTCGGTGGCCCCACAAGATATGGGCATGAAGTCACATCTGGGAGCAAAGTGGATCCTGACCTGGAGAAGCAGGAGAGAGCCAGGGATCCCTGTCCTCAGAACCCAGGGAGGGCTGGCCCTGGAGAGGAAGACCCCAGGAACTGTGAGCCACTTAAGGCCTTAGCATGCCAGCAGCAGGGTTGATGTTGGTCAGACAAACTCCCAGTCTGCAGACCTAGGTCCTCTGACAGCCTGTGGCAAATGGGACACACCACTCACACATAGTGACAGTCCTTTATTGTTTCCTTAGTTACAAACTCAGTGCCTGGTTTTGGAGAAGGAGGAAAGAGAGAGGGGAGAGAGGGAGGGAAGGAGAGAGAGAGAGAGAGAGAGAGAGAGAGAGAGTGAGGACCCAGTAAGACAGGTCTGAGCCACCTAGTCATATCTTGGCCTGCAGGAGTGCCACTCAGATGTCATCCCCACCCAATTTTGGGAGGCCACTGGGAACAAGCCACCAACACATCCAAGAATCACTCAGAAGTCCTTGCAGATGGTGGTGGGTCTCACACTGGGAATTTCATTCTGAGAACCAGTCTTGATAGGAAGATTCCCCTAGAAGAAGGCAAGTTTTGTCCCTGAGGACCCCACCTGGCTCTTGTTCCTGACCTGCACCTCTTTTCTAGTGTCTCTGCAGGGGCTGCTGTCCTGGTGGTGGGGGCATGACATGGCTGGGCCAGGGCCTCCTTCATCCTGGCAGTGGATCTGTAAACACAGCACCAACATGCAGATGCCAGGTGAGGAGGTAGAGCCTGGCACCTACCCAGCCACCCCGTATGGGGTGAATGTGGACTCTGAGGAAAGGGGAGAGAGGGAGCTTTGGGCATGGCCAAAGAGCTGTGGCGGGCACTGGAGCCCGAGGCCCTAGGTCAGCATCCTGGGAATCCTATTCAGTCTTCAATTGTGCATCTCTCCCAAAGGCCATGGGTGGGGAGAGGCAGGAAAAGCTGACACGGGGGAGTCTGTTTGCTCTAAGGGTGCAGTCCCGGACCCCTCAGCTTCTTTCCCCAAGGTCTTGACAGGTTCAGGGGTAGCAGAGCTCTCCTCCCTACCATGAGGGCCCCGCTCTTGCCACTGGTTGCAGAGTTTGGTGGTTCCAGAGACCACAGATGTATCCTGAAGTGTACCATCTGCTATTGAGCCCAGCCCAAGCTCTGGAGGGGGCAGCAGCTCCAAGTGAACAGACGACAAAATAAAAGGCAACCAGGAGCTGCCTGAGAACCCTCCCTTCTTAGCGCTCCTGGGCAACACCGGGGTTGAAGGGCTGTGTCCACTTGGAGACATCCAGGAAGATGGTGGAGGCCCCATGGTACAGCCAAAGGCGGGGCAGGGAGCCACGACGGGCCCAGGCATCCCTCACAGTGTCATAGGCCTCCATCTCCACATGGTAATCACCATCCATGCCCTGCCAGCGGCCGCCTGTCACATACAGCGCATCACCCAGCGACACCAGCGCTCCATTCTCGTGCAGGCTGTGCTGGGACTGAACCTGTGGATGGTCAACTGTCAGGGGCCAGCAGGCAACTGGAGAGCAGAAACAAGGCCCTGTATCCCAGGGCTCACCCAGTGCCCCTTGTGGCTATTTCAGACTCGCTTTACTGTTGAGGCCCTGGTCTCTCTCCAACCTGCATCTCACGGGATTAATTTACGGGCCCTGGAGTCAGAGTATCGAAGAGGGATGTTGAGGCCTAACCCCAGAGCTGCCTCCCATGGGGCCTGGGCTGAGCCTTAACCTCACAGCTTCTCTCATGGAGGAGATGACAGGATAGATTCACTTTAGCCTCAAGATATATCCAGGAAGGACTGAGTTCACCATGGGACCCCTCTATCCATTCCTGCACCCCATGTCCTGGCCGGTGGCCTCAGGAGTGTCCTGTAGAGAAGTCAGGTGGTGAGGGTAGCGGCTCCCACGGGCTAGATGTGGCAAGTTCCGGGAAAGCATGAGGAGGTCAGGAAAGGCTTATGAGACTTCCACATGAAGCTGGGGGCAGGCATCTTCCCTGCTTGTCAGGTCAAAGTGAAGGCCGCAGTGCTGGGAGCTCAGCCCAGCTGGGGCCCAGTTGGAGGCCCAGGGAGAAGGGCCCTAGCAGGACTCACCCTGCATCTGCTTTACACTGCAATGGGGTCTGGGGTCAGTGGAACACGGATGCCAAAGGACAGCTGTGGGCAGCAGGGCACAGCGGCCCCACTGTCATCGGGCTGGCTGGTGGCTGCAGGAAGGGGGTTACTTCCCCATCAGACTCCTAGACTGAGACTTGAGAAGTGGGTGAGCCGGCCCAGCTCATCCAACCAGGGACGGGAGAAAGGCCCCCAGGCTCGGGTCTGGATGTGTCCCTCCCTGGGCCAAGGTGGGACGGCTGGGGGTGTTGGTTGGCCTCCACACTGTCAGCTCAGGAGTTCCCTACTTGGTTTTATCTCCCTCATCTCTTCATTAGCTAGAGGATGGAACATCTTCCTTTCCCTTCAGTCTATGGCTGCCCAAGAGGCATCCACTGGTGAACGCAGGTTTGATCCCCAACAAGGAAGACAGGTCACCCCTCTTCAGGAAGACGGGAGCTCAGGGGACAACCCGGCAGTGACCAGCAGTCCCTGTTTGTGCTCCTGTTGTCGTCCACACTGGCCACTCTGGGTTCTGAGGAGAGTCCCAAAGCCCAGCCTACTTCTCTGTTGGTCCTCTTGGGCAATCCTTCATCCCTCCATCCTGCCTGAAGGCTGCTCTGAGGGGTGTCAGGAGTCCAGCAAGGCCCCCCCTGGGGTGGGCATAAGGAGGCCTACCTTCTGCCACAGGTTAGCCCCCGGGTCGTACACGTAGACCTTCTTTGTGTTGTCACCGATGAGGTAGAGGGCTCCATGCAATGCGGCGCAGCGTGGAGAGGACAGGTACTTGGGCAAGAAGGGTGAGGCGATCACACTCCATGCATCTGCAGGGCACATGGATGGGCACCTTCACTGAGGGGGCAGGGCTCCTTCTCAGGGAGGGTTGTGAAGGACCCCACTCTGAGGGACTGGAGGCAGGGTACCTCCCATAGCCCCAGGCATACCCCAATGGGGTAAGCCTGGGGTGGTGTGCTGTGAGGTGGGGTGCCTACCTCTCACTGAGCCATGAGGGCAGGGGGGAACTGTGGCCTGGTCACCCTCCCACGCCATCCCCGTGGGCTGCTGGGAGCCCCTGGGCCTCTGTGTCTGTCCCACCCCCTGTCTCCCTATACAACTATCTCCTGTCAGGTCTGGAGACCAGGGGACCACTCTGTCTCTGTTGACATACAGGTTGGCCCACCTGTCACAGGGTTGTAGCACTGCAGAGCCAGCGCATTGTACTTGCAGGCACTGGAGCCCACCAGGTAGAGGCGGCCCTGGCAGCTGGCAGCTGAGAAGTTGCTGACGTACTTGAGGGCCGGACTGACAGGCGTCCAGCTGTCTGTGTAGGGGTCATAACGCTCCACCTCTACTGCGTCCAGGGCAGTGCCTGTGGGACGATATCTTAGCTGCGTGAGGGCCAGGTATTGGGGGCTAGAGAGGAGGAGAGGACCCTGCAAGCTCAGGGTCTGGGGCTTTCAAAGGTGGCAGGCATGGCTCTGGAGCCCCAGGAAGGGAGGGTAAATGAAGGAGGCTGAGCCTGGAGAGACTTATGTCCTTCTTATAGACAGAGCTCATACTGGACCACACCAGGAAGTAGTGTAGGCGGTGGCCACTTGTCCCAGGGCCAGTCCTGGGAGGGTAGGTTGTAAAATACGACTGTAGGGTGGTAACCCCCTCCCCAGACCCCAGTGACATGGATGTGGGGACTCATGGGGATGAGTGTCTTGCTCTCCTGACCCGGGCTGCTTGAGACTCTGGGGAATCCAAAGTGTCTGGGATTCAAGAGACTGTGCGTGCTATCTACTCTCTGGCCAGGGACACAGCAATACTGAAGGAAAAGACAATAGCCAGGACGGAAAGGCATGGCCTCAGGGCCAGACTGCTGCTGTGGCTCTCTGAAGTCACCTGGATCTGATCTCCAACATTCATCTAACTGGTAAGCTCTCCAGGGAGACTCCCTGTGGTGACACTGGGATGCCTGGGTGATGAGGTGGCCCATGTCAGGCTTACAGCAACACAGATGTCACTGTGTGTCATTCACCCCTGGGGCTTCCCAGTGACCCCGAGCTGAGGGCAGAGCCCCCAGTTCTGGGGTATGTGGTCATCCCTACTGGTCCTGAGGTCTTGTCTACCTGCTTCTATCCTGAAGGGCATTAGGGGCACTAGGGGCTGGCTGGGTCTTGGCTACCCAGGATGTCTTGGCCAGGTGTTCTGAGGACCACCTCCTGGGAACCTTGGAGTGGGGCTCACTGACCCCAGAAGACAGCGAGCTTCCCAGGGCAGCAACGGGTAGCAGCATACCCAGAGAGGGCTTGGAGTGGGGACTTGCGGCTGTGGGGGTGAGGGGCCGGGTGATAGGAAGGGAGGCCTCACCACCAATGGCATAGATCTCTCCATTCAGTGCTGTGCTGGCATGATTTGTGCGAGCCTTCAGCATGGGTGCCACAGGCTTCCAGACAGCCTCCTTCAGTGGGAAGCACCAGGCCTGGGTGGTCGACCAGGTGTCCGTCTTGGTGCCCCGTGAGCCACCTGCCAGGAAGAGGTTCTGCCCACATGAGCGCTACCAGCCTGAGGCCCCAATGTCCCCCCCCGCGCCATGTCAGGCTGTGACTAAAAACATGCTGAACCCATGTTCTGCCAGACTCTGGGCCGAGATGGGACTGTGGGCAACAGTCTAGATCTAGGACTTCCATCCCAACAAACAAAAGGACGGAACCGAGGTTCCTAACATCAGTGGACACTTACATTCCAGGGAACCCTGACTCCTGAGATAATGGAGGATGGAGTGCCCCCATCACAGTGCTTCCTGGGGAGACCCTGGCTGCTGAGGGGTGGTCATCAGACAGTGTATATGGGAACTTCCAGCACCCACCAGTGGATCCTGGAGTTTTATTTATTTACTTTGTCTACTTTTAATTTTTTTTTTTTTTGAGCCAGATGACTTCAAACTTGCTATGTAGCGAAAGATGAATGACCTCGTGTTTCTGATCCTCCTGTCTCTACCTCTGGACCCTGGATTTAAATTGCCTCACTTTCACATGTGCAGAAAGATCTGGAAAGCCTGGCTAGATCCTGGGGGGATTGCACTTTCTGGAGAGAGTTGGTTTCAGGGGCCGGTGCTGTGCCAATCACCTGTGACATAAACATCACTGTTGAGTGCTGCCAGAGAGAAGCCCCACTTGTGGTAGTCAGGGAAGTCTGGGAGTGCCATCCATTGCCCTGGCAGGAAGAGAGAGGCAGGTCAGGGTGGCTGGACTCCCAGGGGCCTCCGCTCCCCTGAAATTTCCCCCCACTAGTGACAAAGAGAAGAGTGGGTAGAAGTGTGGGAGGGCAGAACCTGCCTGGGGTACCCAGCTCATCACCACTGCACAGCACCCTTTGGAGCCTGGACCCAGAGTGTGATAAGAGGTAGCCCAGGCTCTGTAGGCTGGTGTCACCCTGACCTGCTTTTCACCCCACTGGCCTTGAATGGACCTAGTCTACACAGTCACATGGTGTATGGGCTAAGCAACCTGATCTGTCTGTGCATGTCATCAGTACATTATAACATACTATTCATTCATCCATTCATCCCAAACCCCTTCCCTTGTTCACAAAGCAGCCAAGATACACCACAGGGAATCAGACGCTCACGTCCTGGCTCTCATGCACCGACTGTGCAGCCGTGGACAAGGCCTAGCCTCGGTTTCCCTGTCTGTAGAATAGGGGTAAATTGGGCCAGAAAGTTGGCTCAGTGAGTAAAGGTACTTGTCACCTAACCTGATGACCTGAGTTTGATCTCCAGATCCCACATGTTAGAAGGAGAGAATCGACTCCTAAAAGTTCTCTGACCTCCACATGCACACTGTGGCACACACCCTGCCCTCATAAATAAATAAATAAATGTAGAAAAATAAAATAAAAAAAGTGTGGTGTGAGACATGAAAACTGCCAGCCAGGGGTGGCTGTTAGCATTGTCACTTCTGTGAGGGACACAGTGATGTGCCAAGTCAGAACTATCTTCATGGACTGCAGGGTAAACTGAGGCAAGAGATGAGGAAGTGCTTTAAATGAAACCATCATGGGACCATAGCATGGGAATGTTAAGGTCCTATGAATGGACTCATGGGGGTGAGTGTGGGAAGTCCCCTGGAATACTGTTGACTGTTTATGGCAGTTTTCAGGGTATGTGGAATTCCAGGGCTCATGGTGAGCTGAGCCTGGCAACATGGGCAGGGACTGAGAGTCCCCGATTCATGTCTGTGTCACCCCAGGGTGGGGGCAGTCCAGCCGTTGGCAGGTCATTGTTGCCAGCCAGCTGCTCCCTCCTGACGTCAGCCCCAAATCCCCGCTCGTCAACCCCTGACCTGGACCGCTGGCCCCGGACTTTTTCCAGTCCCGCAGTGCTGACGCAGTGGGCACTGGCAGCCTGCCTCAGTCCTGGGGCCAAACAGCCCACATCAGCACTTTCCCAAGAGCTTCCCCAGGCAGATGGTCTGTGAGGCACCCCACTTCCCCTTCCCCAGGCCCCACCTCTGAATAACCATGGGAGGAAGCGTTGGGAACCCATTTCACAGGTGAGGAAATGGAGGTCTGACCAGGGAGGTCAAGTGACCTCTCCAGGGCCAGACTGGAGGCCCATTTGGACTGACCCAGAACCTTAGCCCTCACCTCTGGATTGCCTGCACTCCTTTAGCTCCCATTTTGCTCCTGAAGCCTTAGTTCCCACACTAGGTGCACAAGACAGCAGGCTTGGAGAAGGATACCCACCCTGAGTAGCACTGTCTGGACTGTGGGACCTTTAAGATGGATTCCTAGAGCCTAATAAAGGCCAGAGATGGGGTTTCCACCAGAGGGAGAGTGGATTGAAAGTGTCCTAGAGCTCTGCTCTGCCTTTCCACCTCCCCATGGCCCCTGGGCTCCTCTGTAGCCCTGGAGAGGCCCAAGAAGCCTCCCAGAGTGGGGGCTTGGGTAGGATCCCTGTTCTCTGGGCACTGCTCTGGCTCCACCCCCATTGTGGAACTGTGGTTCATGTCCAGGTCAGGCATGGCAGCTACTTACTGGCCTTGGTATTGTAGAAGGCAAAGTTCCCAGGGTGGGGGGCAGGCTCCTCACTACCTGCCTCGTCTTCCTCGAGGGCCCGCCCGCCTACCACCACCAGCACCTCCTGCAGCTTCTGTGGGAAGCGGGGCAGCTCCTGTGGGTGAGAGCCAGGTCAGAGTGGCTGGGCACTGTCACCCTAGTCCAGGGGCCCATGTGTGTTGTAATGTGTCAGCGCCTCTGTATTGGGCTGTGTGCGTGCACACGTCCAGAAACACCTGTGCTCGCATGCTTGCCTGAGCTAGAGATGGTGGCAGATGTAGCTGTTTGGGGCCAGGTTTATGCACCCCCGCCCCCATGCAGAGCTGCTGCCTCTGAGCAGTTACAAGGGACTTTCCCAGGTATTGTGCATTACCTTTAGGGTGACTGCACTCCCACACCTATAGGGCGGATCCCATAGCTGTCCAATGTTCCCCATATCTGCCCCTGCCTCTTGGAGGAGCCCCTGCTCTCCAGCTGGCCTACAGCAAACCCTGTTGGTTGCACTCCCCCCAACAATAAAGGCTGGGACACCTCTACACAGAGCTGAGGTTAAGTGGCCACTACCCAGGGCTTTCAGGACCTTTCAGGACAGGATGTTCAGGCCTCCCACCACCAGATGACAGCCCATAGGGTGAGGACCCAGGCTACTCCAAGGAGCAAGACCAGCCCAGTGACTGACTGGTGCCAAGAGGTGGCCAGGTTAGGGCTTGGCTCCCATATACTGCATTCTTGACTGGGACCATTGGGCTAAGCCTCACCTTCATCCCCAGCAGGCACTGAATAGGCTGCTGGCCACTAGACCCCGTGGGCTCGTGGTATCAGCCACAGCTCGGCCTGTCACTTCATCAGGACCTGCCAGCTTCTGCCAGCCCAAGCAGGAATGGAATCCATAGGTAGGGCAGCTTTCAGGCCCCACTGTGCCACACTTGTGCAACTGTGCCACTGTCATGGATGGCTTTCCCTAATCCTCCCCCCGTCCAGCTCCCATCCCTCCTCTAAGGCCCAGTTCCAATGCTGTCTCCTTCAGGGAGCCCTCCCTGATTGACAGCCCTTGCATGATGCCCTTAGCAGGCTGTGTGGGTGTCCTTCTAATGCTGGCCTTTCCACTGTGCCTTAGATCTGCATCCAGGCTTGCCCTCACTCAGCAGTGGGCTCTTTCAACACAGGGACATGTCTAGGTTCCCTCTCTTGGCACCCTAGTTAGCATACTTGAGAGGCAGATTGATGCCCTCTCAGGGGACCAGCTTGTGGCAGGGAGGTTGAGGGACATTTGGTGGGGGGGTGCCTACTTCTTTCTACCTCTCCATGTAGGTAGGGCTCAGGGCTCCTCCGCTGTTTCTCAGGTCCAAGTCCCCTGTTCCTCACTCACCCCACTGTGGCCTTGGGACAGGGCTTCCTGGCAGGCCTCTGACTCCTGGATCAGCGGCTCTGTGGCCAGCAACTGCTGCATGCAGGGCCGGGGCACCGCATCCAGGTGCACCAGGCTGAGCAGCGAAGGCAGGTGTGAAGCCCGGGCCTGAGGGTCATGGCGCACCCAGCGTAGCAGAGCCTCCAACCGGCTCTGTTCCGGCTGCACCTGCAGCAGGTCACTGGCCAGACAGGTGGCCAGCCGGTCTCTTGATAGCTGCAGGAACTCGTCCTCTTGGGCCACGGCCTCAAAGTTTTCCCGAAAGAAGGCCCAGGCTTTGGCAGCCACTCCCAGCAGTCCCTGCTGCTCCCCAAACTCACAGATGCCCAAACAGTTGGTGGCGTCTAATTGCTGCTGGAGGTAGCGGCCGCAGACCTTCTGCACTGTGGGGAAATGGAGGCGTGAGGCCGTGCGTGTCAGTGTCTCCACATTGGTCTGTGTGATGGTCAGCCGGCCCGTGTACACGAAGTCCACCAGCTGCCCCACTGCCGCCGGCTCCACGTCCTGCAGCTCCACACGTGCCGAGAAGCTTTCAGCAAAGTCTCCAGCAAACATGGCGTGGAAGTAGGGGCTGCTCAGCGCCAGGAGGCCACGGTGGCAGGGCAGCGCCTGGTCACCCACCAGCAGCGTGACATCCGCCAGCTTGGGCAGGGAGCGTAGCCGCTGCAGGCCATCTAGCATGTCCTGGGCATGCGAGGGCAGCTGGAAGGCCAGGTCATCCACATTCCGCACCATGGTGTGATGTCACTTCCCTCTCTCTGAGAAGAAGCACCCGGGGCTCACCAGAGCGCCTAAGGAGGAAGACGGGTCAACCCCGAAGACTGTGGTCTCCACCTGTGACCCACTGTATGACTGATCACCACCCTGACAAGCCCTAACTGAGCATGGTCAGGGTGAGGACCACCCCGCACCACGCCCTGCCCCCTCTTGCCCTCCCCCACCAAGCCCTCTGGGGCAAGCTAACAGCTGCCTCCACTTTACAGGGCAGACCTACCTGTGGCCAGGGAGTCAAGGCAAGGCACGGCCACACAGAGATCACACGCTCTGGGCCTCCTCTCCTCCACAGCTATACAGCATAGACCCCCAGGGCAAAGGGACCCCCAGGCTTCAAGCTACCAAGACAGTTCTCTGCCCCAGCTCCCATGTTGCTGGACAGGCCATTGGGGGTGTTTTCAGGTGTCCTGCCTCACTGGTTCTCACTGCCTGCCAGTGTGATCTTGGTTGACCCACACCCTCCTCTGGGTCTGTTTCCTCTGCTGATGGAGAAAGGATGGAGTCATCCCTGCTCCTCCCCGCCCCGGGCAGCTCCTGTGCACGAGATGCTCCCCAAGTGCACAACCACATCCCAGGCCTCCTCCTGCACTGACAGTCACACACACGTCCTGTCAAGTAAGCACTATCATTTTACAGCCCAAGAAAGGGACACACAGGCTCACGTCACCTACTCAAGACCAGAGTGGGAAGTGAGGGAGTAGAAGTTGAACTCAGAGCCATACTTGCAGCCAGGGTCAAGACACAACCTATGGTACACATGGCCTGTCAGCAGGCCACATCTGGGCTTAACGACATGCATGCCCATTTATGTATGCACTTCTGGTATTTTGCCCTAAGCAAACCATTGCAAGGAAAGAAACAGCCACTGGCCATGGTGGAGCATGCCTGGTGTAATCCCAGTACTTGGAAAGCTGAAGCAGGGGACTGCAAATAAGTTCAAGGCCTGCTTGGGCTGCACAGTAAGACCCTGTCAAAAATAACCACTGAGAGATGGCTCAGTGGTTAAGAGCACTGGTTGCTCTTGTAGAGGACTGGGATTCAGTTTCCAGAACCACATGGTGACTTGTGACCATTCACAACACCAGTTCCAGGGCATCCAATGCCCTCTTCTGACCTTCATGGGCATTGCATGCATGTGTACACTTACATACATGCAGGCAAAACACTCATAAAATGAAAATAATAATTAGAACATTTTTAGAAAGAAAGAAAGGGCCAGGCGTGGTGGCGCACGCCTTTAATCCCAGCACTTCGGAGGCAAAGGCAGGTGGATCTCTGTGAGTTCAAGGCCAGCCTGGTCTACATAGTGAGTTCCAGGACAGCTGGGGCTACAGGGAGACTCTGTCTCAAAAAGACAAAAAAAAAAAAAAAAAAAAAAAAAAAAAGAAAAGAAAGGAAGGAAGGAAGGGAAAGTGGAGGAGGGAAGGAAGGGAGAAAGGAAAGGAGGGAGGGAGGAAAGGAGGGAGGGAAGGAGGGAGGGAGAGAGGGAAGGAGAAAAGGGAGGGAATTAGAAAGGGGTGGGAAGGGAAATGACTGAGTGGAGGGAGGAGGGAGGGGAGAGGGAGGAAGGGAAGGAGGGAGGGAGGGTACCAAGGCTTTGAAGGGAGGGAAGGAGGGAGGGAGGGAAGGAAGGA